ATTCAGACGCGAGCGAGCGAGAGAGCGCGTCACATACCTGACCGAACGCGTCACGCGCAGACTGACCCAGAATATCTCTTCCCTGAGCACAAGTGCCAACAAGTGTCGAACACCGCAGTCATACACTGCAAATAAAGCTGGTTCCGTGATGAGGAACGTTTAATTTCCCCCACAAAGGGTTCTTTATATTATTAAAATAATAAGAAAATAATGTTTTTTATCAACTGTTGACTGAAATGTTTTTTTTTCCTATAAGCGCAGTGATTCAGCACTGGACACACACACACCGCTGCATGTGGCTCATCTTCAGCTTTATTTATTTATTTATTTATTTATTATCACATGACGTAAGAAGAGGTCTGTTTTTTATGACTTTCATGTGATGTCACTGTGACGCCATGAACTTTCCCAGCTAACAAAATGTTACAAGAACGTTTTGCTAACATTCCAAAAACGTTATTTTTTAATGTTCAAAACGTTCAGTATTTTAAATGTTTTGAAAACGTTACGGGAACAGTGACACTGTATCATTCTTCAAACATTATGGAACGTTACTTTTGAATCGGAACGTTCTGAAACATGTAGAAACATTTAAAAACCGTTAGATGAACAGAACATCCAACCGAAACATACACTGTCAAAAAAGTGGCACCTCATTTATTTCCTTTAAGCAAAATATAATTTCCTTTTTCTTTTGATTAGGGATTGAACAATGACCTAGAGATTTACAGAGGTGATTCAGCAGTTCACACACACACACACACACACACACACTCACATACACACACACACACTGATGCACAAGAGGTCCCTGAGGGATTGACAGTGTGAAGATGCAGATGATGAAGTTTGTCACTCAAATAACTGCAAACACAAACACACACACACAAATCCAGAGGAATTGACTGTTTGAGACACACACCATCTGTGGCATTAGCATAATTATGCAAATAGCCAGAGAGGGTGTTATGGGTCGACTGAAAAGGAAACAATCCACACACTCACACAAGTGTACACCTCCATATATTTACACAGTATACACTGTCTGTCTCAGTGTGTGTGTGTGTGTGTGTTAGTGGAGGTGATTCTTCAGTTACATGTTACATTGATACACCAGTAGGTGGCAACAAATTACTAAATCTGACAAATCTTTAACTGAATCATTCATTCATTCGGCTACACTGATTCATTTGGGAAAGTGAACGAGTCATTGAATCAATCATTCAACCCATTTGTTCACGAGCACTGATTCGTTCCGTGACTCGTTCTGGTTTCTAATGTCATTATCTGCAAGAACATCATTAAAGACCAGATAACTGCACAAACGTTCTATTGATGTTACTGGAAGAACGTTTGATCATAACGTTGAGAAAACGTTCCCTTTTGTCTGAGAAATAATTGAGAGATATTAAAGACATCGGATCTGTGATCTTTCGGTTCCCACAGGATTTCCCTCTTCTCTCTCCACTGTCATGCTCTTCTTCTCTTTCTCAGTGTTTGTCTCAGTGATGCGGATACCATGGTAACATGACACTATGGTGTGAGCGAGAGACACACACACACACACACACACAAACATGATTCTCAGCACATCTGTCCTTTAGCTCTCATTGCCGTCCTGCTCGAACACACTGATTATAACGCAGAATAAAGCCATCATACAACAACTCTGTGTACGTTATTCACAATTACGCAAATCACACAGATATTGGGTAAAATCATCCATTTTTAACTGAATAATTGATTTATATTCAATATATAATTGAATGAAATATTTATATTTATAATCAACATTTCTCTTAAATGAAAAAAATGCATGTTAGGATTGCCTTCGGATAAATATGATGCTAAATAAAACGTCTTGTTTGTGAATATGATGTCTTAAAGGTGCAGTAAGCGAGTTCTGAGAAGCTGTCGAAACCACAAAACACACTTGTAGCCAATCAGGAGTAAGGGGCGTGTCCACACACAAAGGGGGAGGAGCCTATGCTGCACAGTGTGTTCGTTAATTTGGGGGCGGAGCTATTATGATAGGGTGTGGTCATTTTGGGTAGGGGCATGTCTATGCATGAAAGGGGAGGAGCCTGTTCTGCATAGTGTGTTCATGAATTTGGAGGCGGAGCTATCAAGATAGGAGTGTGATTCTTTTGGGTAGGGGCGTGTCTACGCATGAAGGGGGAGGAGCCTCTGCTTGCATAGTGTGTTTGTGAATTTGTGAATTTGGGGGCGGAGCTATCAAGACAGGAGTGTGATTCTTTTGGGTAGGAGTGTGTCTACGCATGAAGGGGGAGGAGCCTCTGCTTGCATAGTGTGTTTGTGAATTTGTGAATTTGGGGGCGGAGCTATCAAGATAGGAGTGTGATTCTTTTGGGTAGGAGTGTGTCTACGCATGAAGGGGGAGGAGCCTGTGCTGGACAGTGTGTTTGTGAATTTGGGGGCGGAGCTATCAAGATAGGAGTGTGATTCTTTTGGGTGGGGGCATGTCTATGCATGAAGGGGGAGGAGCCTGTGCTGCATAGTGTGTTCGTGAATTTGGAGGCGGAGCTATCAAGATAGGAGTGTGATTCTTTTGGGTAGGGGCGTGTCTACGCATGAAGGGGGAGGAGCCTGTGCTGCATAGTGTGTTTGTGAATTTAGGGGCGGAGCTATCAAGATAGGAGTGTGATTCTTTTGGGTAGGAGTGTGTCTACGCATGAAGGGGGAGGAGCCTGTGCTGGACAGTGTGTTCGTGAATTTGGGGGCGGAGCTATCAAGATAGGAGTGTGATTCTTTTGGGTAGGAGTGTGTCTACGCATGAAGGGGGAGGGGCCTGTGCTGCACATTGTGTTCGTTAATTTGGGGGCGGAGCTACGATGATAGGGGTGTGGTCATTTGGGTGGGGGCATGTCTATGCATGAAGGGGGAGGAGCCTGTTCTGTATAGTGTGTTCATGAATTTGGAGGCGGAGCTATCAAGATAGGAGTGTGATTCTTTTGGGTAGGGGCGTGTCTACGCATGAAGGGGGAGGAGCCTCTGCTGCATAGTGTGTTTGTGAATTTGGGGGCGGAGCTATCAAGATAGGAGTGTGATTCTTTTGGGTAGGGGCGTGTCTACGCATGAAGGGGGAGGAGCCTCTGCTGCATAGTGTGTTTGTGAATTTGGGGGCGGAGCTATCAAGATAGGAGTGTGATTCTTTTGGGTAGGAGTGTGTCTACGCATGAAGGGGGAGGAGCCTGTGCTGGACAGTGTGTTCGTGAATTTGGGGGCGGAGCTATCAAGATAGGAGTGTGATTCTTTTGGGTAGCGTGTTTTCTTTTGGTGACTTCTAATATGGTTTCTCAGAAATGATGGGTCTAGATTTGCCGCAGATCTAGTATCAGACGCTTGGCTGCACAAACAGAAGTGGATGTCCCATTGACGGCTGTTCTCTGGAGGAAATGATTAATTTAGCACCCAAAAACAGCCCCGGAGATCAGATCACACCTGCTGCGCCACTGAGACCACACACAACAGCGTATTCTCTTTGATATGGAGCTCCTGCTTCTGGCCACTCGTCATAATTCACCAATTAAGGGCTTCAGTTCTGCTTTTAGGATCAAACGAATTGAATTACAAATGGATCAAAACAAGAGTTTCTCATGAAACTTTGAGTATATTGTACAGATGAGACGAGTCAACATCAAAGTGCCAAAAAAAAACAAAAATTCACAGATTTCTTTAATATCTTGATTGTTTCTCCTGAGCAAACGAAATAAAGTGTTCAATAGTTACATTATTATTAATAATTAGAGCTGGACAACAATTAATCGCATCCAAAATAAAAGTTTGTGTTTACATAATATATGTGTATTATTATTTTGTTTATATAAATACACACACATGTAGGCTATGTATTTAAGAAATATTTGCATGTACATATATTGACATATAATTTATATTATGTATAAATATAAATATTTTATATATAAATAACACATTTTTCTTAAATATATACATGCATGTGTGTGTATTTATAAATACAAAATAATTACACACACATATATTATGTAAACACAGACTTTTATTTTGGAAAAGTAATAAAAGTTAACAGTTCTTTGTTCTTTAGCCTCAGACTAGCGATTTATCACTCATTTATTGATATTACATTTGTATTTTAATCTATTTTTATTTATTTACACATTAACACAACTGAAATCTTCACTAAAGTCGGCATGAAAGGGAAGCTGCGCTGGTCCGAGTGAAACGCTTCAGGAACAAGAACAAATGTGGGCGGGGCTTGATTATGTCCATGTGGAATTGATTGGATGATTGTGGTTTGCTATTGGCTGATCTAATGTGAGTGACAGGTTATAGCCCCGCCCTCGTCATCAGAGAAGAGGAAGTTATTCTGATTCAATATTACCAGGAACATGAATTTAAACGGATAAACAATTGATCACAAACACTGCAATATTGAAAAAAAACAAAACAATTGTCAGCTTTGATTTCCCAGTGACTTTAAGCTTTGGAAGAGCAATGAAACGTTCCTCTGGGAAGAAGCACCACGTCGAGAGTGAGAATGACCAGAACAGCTTGGACTGCAAACCGCTAACAGCTTGAAGCAAAGCGAGCTGGCAGCGAGCGCAAGCGAGGCGCTTCACACACACCCGTGTGTTTCTGCGGTTCTCGAGCTGATGACGTCTGAGTCTCTGTTTAAAAGCTCGTTTCGGTGCGTCTGTTCCAAACATCTTATAAAACATGACGCAATGAAGGCGTGAAGTAATATAACACGCACTAGAACAAATCAAGACTCTTAATGTAAAGTGTGCGCTCTCATGTTACAAAATGAAAATGGCATATCTGCAGTGTTCACACACTCAAACTCCCTAGAAGAAACGAGCCAGTTGAGCTCCCCGAGGGCTTATTGCAGTAATTATGATTTTCATAAACCCCTTTGTGAGCGTCTTACGCTGAGAAAAGCTCTCTGCATTGTATCTGGACCCCAAAAACGGAGAATAATTCATCCTGGCGCAGCTGTGGTT